TCTACTTATCGCCCTACTGATAATAGATGCTGGTACGGAAGGAAAGAGCAATTGGAAGTTGTTTACGCAAGAAAATTGATAGTAGAGCATCTGTAAGCCAGTTCCTTCTAAATGAGCTTTCAATCGAATGAGCGAATTAGAAGCGCGGCCAAGGCATGGCGCACACCGAGGCAGGGCATGTCACTGCAAGCGCATGCTCAAAGCATTCTAACACTTCCTATGGTCAAAACGATTTTGTTTTCCCTGGAGGTTGCGGCCTGTGAAACCTAAAAAAACCCACGTTCTTACGAAAATGACTAGAAGAATGCCCCTCCAAAGAAAGTCCCAACGGGACTAATTTTTGAAGTACTGACTTTCTAGCAAAGTTAGGGTACTTGGTAGGAAGCTCGAATCCTGTAGTTTTTCATAGCGCGTTCAGCTTCCCAAATGACCAACTTTGAGAGAAGTTATGATCGTATGAATGTTGAAAAGTCGCGTTTGACCAGGAAAAAGTTCCAACGTGCTAAATTTTTATTAAAATCAACTTTGAAAGAAAATTTAGACATGAGTGGAGAGAAAATAATTTAAATTTTTCAAATCAAATCACTACGCCGCAAAAGCTTGAATACGAAGAAAGTTATAGGGCTAGAAAGTGGAAGGTAAAAATTGCAGTGCAATTCATTTCTTGCTTAATAACTTAATTACTTCAGATTGTTTAAGAACAAATCCGCTTTACTTAAGAAGGATGACCATTATTGATCCAGAACCCACCTCCGCCTTCCGAGAAACCTGAAATTTCACAAAGAAAAATCCGTGTACATGACAATCTCCATTTTCGACACCTGTTCCCGATCAACAAGCGCGCTCCATTGCAGTCACCCAGGGCGCGATCCACCACGTTCAAAACGCGTTTGGGTCGTCGGGGGGGGGGTCGTACCAAATCGCTCACGAAGGGGGGGGTCGTAAGAAAAATCCAAAAAGTACCAACGATAGGACCGACCCTGACTCCAAGATCCAAGTGGAAGCATTCCCGTCGCCAGCATTTGTGGCAGATGTGCGGTGGTAACTTGAAAAGCAGCAGCCCTTTCGGTTCGTCGAATTTTTACCAAAACAAATGCAATTTTTCTGTTCTTTTCATTACTATCGTGGATGATGGGTCTCAAGCCAGTGAGTTATGGCTAAAATTGAATCATGGTTTTTCCGTGAAGGATTCCTTTAAGTTTGAGTGCCGGGCAAAAATCTGAAGAGATCGCAAATAGATTTTTCTCTTCTTGCCCCTTTTTGGTTCTCTGATAGTACTATTTTGTCTTTGTGCATGAAATTCTTCCAAAGGGGGAAGAAAGACGATCTACTAGGGTCGAGGTTTTTATACGCGAAATCTACGACGAGAAGGCGGTTCATCATAAATCAATGTACAGGTGGTCACTCGTGCAAGGATAAAATAAGAACAGGAAACTCATAAAACGGGACCTTCTTGTGCAGAATTTCTGCATCACTGAAATACACTGCGTCTCCTAATGATACAGCCACCTAGAAATTGTTGAAAATCTCGAATCCCACAAAGTTGATGGAAAAATGTCCAACAGGAGAACTGTATCAAATCTGGTCGCGAATTCGAAAATCAATATGAAATTCCAGGTTGGAAATGCGAGAAAATATATTCCAATTTTTCCAAAAAGCGTCGCTTTTCTATCGTCTCCAAATGATACAGCCACCCCGTATTTCTTCGTTGCATTTCATTTCTGATCAACGAAACTGATTGGCAGTACTCAATTGTTCTTTCTTAGGTTAACAGGAAAGGAAAGCAACTACTGGACTTTGAAAAATTGAAAAGCGTCACAAAATAAGAAAAATTAAGCGCCAGGTGATCACATTGCGCGAAAATTTCGTCGAGCTACGGAATGATTAACAATTTCTTTTTGAATCCTGTAGAAAATGAAACTTAGAAGGGCTTCGGACGTTATTCTCTGCTTTTTGATAAAGATAAATGCGACATTATGAGAACAGCACCAAATTTCACCAAGGCGGGTTCGGAAATTGAGTCTTCTTCAGAACTTGATCTCCTACTGGATAGTGCTGGGAATGCAATAAACAACTTCCAAAATCGTTCTCGAGCTGACATGAAAAGGACGGTGATTTTGACAAGAAACCGTCGCGAAAACCGAGTCATTTTTGCAGGGGAACCCCGATCAAGCCAACCGGAGCATTTTCGGCCTGTTGTGTTTTACTTCTTTTCTGCCACTCTTTTAACGCCTTTCGCTCTAGCTGGTTCCGTCCTGGAGTAATGCTTTTAATAGTGAGGAGAAAGTCAAAGGTAAAGCAGATGAAAAAACTGATAACCTAAGAAAGAACAAGTGAGTACTGCCAATCAGTTTCATTGATCAGAAATGAAATGTAACAAAGAAACACGGGGTGGCTGTATCGTTTGGAGACGATGGAAAAGCGACGCTTTTTGGGAAAATTGGAATAAAATTTTTCGCATTTTTTACCTGGAATTTCATATAGATTTTCGAATTTGCGACCAAATTTGACACAGTTTTCCTGTTGGACATTTTTCCATAAACTTTGTGGAATTCGAGATTTTCAACAACTTCTAGGTGGCTGTATCATTAGGAGACGCACTGTACGTGCTAATGACAGTGCAGGCGCTCTGCTCTGCTCCTGTACTAAAGCGTTCCTACGACAAGAGGTTAGGCAGCTGGGCGGCGCGGTGGCGGCCCTGCTAGACCACAAAAAGCCATACTACAAAACGCGCATCGTCCCGCAATCCTAACGACAAACCCCGGGATCTGCCCGACTAGTAGGAGGATACTGCGGGGAATTATGGATTCCTACGTACATGGATCACACCAGCATCATTGCAGAGATTGCGGCGCTAGTCCTTACGGGCCTACAACCATACCACCTTTGCAACGCTTCCCACCCACCGTGATTGATGTGGAGATCAGCGCCTCTCAACGGCGTGTCTCTTGCGTGTTTTGTCTTCTTTGATCGCCCTGTCTCGCTATCCCACCATATTCGATGTAACAGTGGGCTAAGGCCTTATTTAGCGTTTGCAGTGATTTCTCTTGCTTTTACTACTTCCAGTTCATTCCGCGGCTCATTCATCATTACGGAACGCTCTTATACACCAGTTTTGTCCCCGGGCTTTAATAGAGAGTTATGTCAAATTCAATCCGACTGAAATCATTTTTGTTTTGAATCGCTAAAGTCTTCGGACTTTAAAGCAACAATCCAGGAACGAATTCGAGGGTAAGGACCATCCTATAATGACTTTTGCGTGTGAGAAGTTGGTCAATGGAGAAAGAAAAATAGAAAAAAACGGTCGGGAGGGGCTTAGACAGGGACTCCCCCGGCCGTTTAGGGAGACGTCGTGTTGGACCAGTTGTCCGAACCTGCCCGTAGTACATGCGCTCAATTGAATGCTGGCAATAGCCATGCATGCTTGCAATACATAACTGTTTGCCAGCAATCGAAATTGAAGCGCTTCAATTGCGTTCTTATGGAATCGACTCATACAGCGCGGCGGTCCCGCAACGACCGGTAGGCGAGCAAGCGCTCTGCACCGCGTATGTTGAGCGATCCGCCTCGTTATGAATGATCCGCCCCTTCCAAGAGGACTTCGACCCCTTCCAGCGCATTCTAGAGGTAGGTTTTGAACTTGAAGACATTTCCTAAAAAACTTTAGTTGGGCTGGGATATGTTTTGACCGCCTAATGACCAAGTAGTTGAAACCCTGCCTGGACTGTTGCTTTAACCGCACACTTCACAGTTGCGGGCGACAACTGTGCAACAGGACTGAAGTTGAAGAAAAAACTTGGAGGGCACCGAATATAAGAGACGTTAAGTTAGAAACTGAAGATGTAAGAACTCGGTCTTCCCCTGCTTTCGTTGTGCGGCATTTTGGGGAAATTACACTTGCTTGTGGCTCTTTCTTACTTGTCCTGCTTTGAGTATAGATACACTGGAGTGCAAACTTAAGGACGGACGTAACTTGTCCATGACGTGTTACTGGCGAGTAACATAACTCTATAGGACCTAACCACACATAAAAAGAGCTGCTACAAAGCATTACAGAAAGTAATTGAAAGGAACCAACAAATGGTCCAAAAACTATCAGTAAGTGGTATTACTGCATCTGCCTCGTCCCTAAGTCTTGCGCATCAGTTTAGTAATAATAGGCATTCATTAACAAAAGGGGTGCCTTGCAATAGCGTTAGAAAAGAAATAATTCTCAATCGGAGAAACTATCAAGGAAATAAATCGAATGGAAGAGAAAAAAGTGTAAAGGGGAGTTTTGCTAAAAGTAGGGGTAGGACTCCCTTGTAGAATGGAATTAATTGTTGAAACTTTCCAAGAAGGAATGGTTTTTTAGAAGCATTACCCGGTGAGGCGATAGACAAACCGCGAACCGGATGGTTTATCTGGTCGGTTTTCTTCGGTTTCTTCTGTGGTTCCCTCATTGCACTTCTGATCGCCGGCAGTCTATTGTACTTCGGTCGCCGTACAGTTTACACAGATTGGTGAGTAGATTTTAGTAGATTAGTTGATGCAACGATAAGACACTTGCTATCAGCTCACAGAGGGCTCCTAGAAGCTTTAGAACATTGTAATCTCTGAATAACACATGATGCAAAAACAGACGAATATGCGACCTTCTCTTGATTTCTTGGTGAAGCTCACTGTATGACGTTGGTAATCTTTACCTCATGGCACTTCCGGGCGAAAATGGGGTGTAGTGGCAAGTGGCACGCTTACCACGCGAGCGGTCCGGCGATCAAATCCTGTGTGGTGAGTCGCCCGGGCCAAACAAGCCTTCCATCCCTCGGAGGTCGGTTGATTGGTATCAGACTTGTCTGGGAGGATAAAGACACTGACTTGTACATCGGCTGGCCGCCGCAAGTCGTTGTGTAGGCCACATCGCATTCAACCGCCACTACAAATGCACAAATGGAAGTAAAATTCGTGCCGCATCCCAAAAAAGGATTGATCAACGGCAAATGCTTTATCCTTTATCCTTTATGGCATTTCCGTGTTGCGTGGCTTCTCGGTATATGGCTTTAAGGGCAAAGGTCGGGATCAGGCTACCAAACCAATCTTCTCATCATCTCTGTGCGCATTTACGCACCCACAAAGACGTCATCACGCTCACAATCCCAAACGGAATAAATAAAGCCCCAGGCTATTGTTCGCTATCGCCGCCTGACGGGCGCTATGCTCGCCCCCTCTGAGAGCGCTGGCACATTGTGTGAAATCAGCTAGGCTGATTGCCATATCAACCAATGCAACGGCTGGCATGTCCAGAAAACCCGTTTGGACGTGCCTCTCTCCCAAACCAGCCTCCTTCACTGCTAGTAGAAGCGGGGTTTCGTTTTCTGCTTTGTCGATGGTTTCTATTCCTTTGCCCTCCACTGTCGCTACATTACGCATCTCTATGCTCAGTTTCGGTCGCCCTAATACCTCATATTAAGCCCGACCTTGCCTTTAACTCTTGGTGTATATATACAGGCGGTATTCCCCGAGTCATCAGTACAAAAGTAAACAATAATATTACTTTAATGAGCCTCATTTGTTTAGGTATCGTGGAATGTACAAACGATATGGATGCGACGCTTCGGGTGTCACTGGAGGAGTCACCGGAAGTGCATTTGGCACCACTACGAGCGGAGGTATGTCCTTTTTTAACACCGCTGCGTCTAGTTCTCTTATGCAGAATACTCCTGATGGTAGCGTATATTGCTTTTTCTTCTAGTTGGTGGCCTCTCTACCATTGGTGGCACGACAATGGGAGGTACCACTGGAGGAACCACTATGGGAACAACAGGCGGAACGACTATGGGTACAACTACTGGTGGTACTACGGGCGGCACTACCGGTGGCACCACTAGCGACTCTGGCATGAGTACTAGTGGTACAAGTGGCACGACTGGCGGAACGACTGGTGGAGGAACTACAGGTGGAACATCAGGAACATCTGGAGCTGAAGGCACGGGCACATCGGGTGGTGATATGGTTACTATGTGATTCAGTCTTTTAATAAAATATTGTACATTTCGTATTCAAGAATTCCCATATGTGCTTTACGAAATTGTCCCAGCCCAGCTGTCATACGAAAGTACAATAAATGTTCTGAGAGCATCAAAATGTTTATGTGCACGTGGTCCTTTCAAATATACTATCTATCCTCTATACGATCTCTGATCACGTTAGCATCGCCTTATTTGGAATCAGCTATCAGAAGGCGTGTGCTAGCTAAATAGTTCGCCCCGGAAAAAAAGCCAGGCTTTCCTGGAAAGGATTGAAATGTTTTACTGCACGTAATGCTACATTGACTCTTTAACTTTTCATTTGGCTACATGATCGTGGTGTATTTGGTTTGATGAGAAGAAAGCACATACGCGCAGCTGACGAATTTGATCCAATGTGCTCTTGGCATTCTGAAATCTTCACTAGTAAAAGTCACTTCTTCACTAATTCCTTATTCTCGAATGTACCACTGTATTATTAGACCAGATTAGTCCCCCGTCAACCGCCGGAACCTTCCTCCCCGTGCGTCAACTTTACGTCTTTCGCTGTGGTCCCTTCCACCAACACCTCCCGTAGGTGACGCGTATGTTACAGAAAAGGAGTTTCATATAGTGGGGTTTATCATAACGTGACGGTATCCGACTTCCACCTCCATCCTCTCTTCCCCTCTTTCCACTGCCCTCCAGCTGTCGCTGCAGCGCCGTGCGGAATGACCGAAAGTGTTCATTAGGCGTTTATGTAGTCTAGGAGTGTTATCACGTTATGCTATTACCAAACACCAGATTAGTCCCCCGTCAACCGCCGAGACCTTCCTTTCCTGCGCAAGCTTTCTATCCTCCGCTATGGTCTCTTCCTCCTGTGACACCAACACCTCCTGGAAGTGACGCGTATGCAACACAATGGTGTTTCGTACAGTAGAAGGGACACAATCATGACGGTAGATTTTTCGCTTCCCTCCCTCATCCTCCCTTCCTCTCTCCACTGCCCTCCAGCTCCCACTGTAGCACCATGTGGAATGAACGGAAGTGTGCTAAGCAGGTGTTTATATAGTCCTAAGAGTGTTATCACAACTATCCTGCTACAAAACATTGATATCTCAAATCCTGTAAGCTACCCGATATGTTAGCGGTTTGTTTATCCCATGAGCTTCCTTCTCACTCCCTTCATTTTGCGGACGGACACACATACATACATAAATACATACCCACCCACACACATACAGATATACAAACCGACACACAAAGTTAGCGCTTTATAATATAGTAGGATATGCCTTATCACTCACTCACTTCATTTTGCGGACGGACACACATACATACATACAAA